TCTCCCCAGCCACTATGTGCTTATATTGTTTGATCAATTTTTCAAGCCTATATCTTGTAATCTGAGCAAATACTTTCAAGATAACAATATGCAATGTATAAACCATTGCAACTCTACTATCTTGTTTTGAAATTTTGTATCTTTTTGTCATTCAATCTGTTTAAAATAAAAACTTTTAAGAAATTAAAAAGATATAAAATAAGGAGGGCTGGCCAGATAGCGCAGCAGACTAAAGCGCCTGCTTAGGCAGGTACAGCAACTGGGGTTTGATCCCCGGCTTGCCATGCTGGCCCCACCCCCGGGGTGCACTGAGAGGGCAATTGAGACTAGGCATGGTTGTGCGTGCCTGTATTCCCAGCACTTTGGAAGCTGAAAACAGGAGGATCGCTATGAGTCCAATCTGTGTAGTGAGACCCTGTAGACCCTGTACTAAATACATTAAAAAAAAAAAAAAATGCTTGGAGCCAGAAATGTTTTAGACTTCAGATATTTTCAAATTTTGGACTACGTGCATTATACATAATGAGATATCTTGGATATGTACTCACATCTAAACATAAAAGTTACTTACGTTTCATCTTGTGCACATAGTCTGAAGCTAATTTTATACAACATTTTTGTGAGCCTGTATTCTGATTATGACCAACCCCATGAAGTAAGGCATATAATTTTGTTAGTGATGTCATGTGATGTTCAGATTTTGGAGATTTTAGATTTTGGATATTCCAATTAGTACTGCTCAATCTACATTCTGTCTCAGAAACTCTTCTCTTCTTTTGCAGTGCCCGGGACTGAACTAGAGACCTTGTGCTTGCCAGGCAGGCACTTAAGCTGCTGAGCTAATCCCCACCCCCCAGAAATTCTTCTTAATGTTCTGACTGGCTAAAATAGAGAAATTCTGCCCATTAAAAAAATAAAATTGCCCATTTGAGAGCACACAATAACAAACTATTGGATACACAGATACTATAAAACCAACGGAGTTCATCTATAAAGTTTCAGAAACAAGACAACAGCTTAACGTACAACCTTGGAGTCAGAACAAGATTGCTGGTAGCCACAAATTACAGATTGAGTCTAGGGGACAGCCAGAGCTTGTTTTGTCCTGCCCTTGAGCTAGACTGGAACATGGAAACTCCCCACTTTTTTCTGATCACAGCCGGAAGCTCTAGGGCTAATGACTGCTGTTGCACTGACCAGGGAAGATAAAACCTGCTGGAAATGATAAAGTATCTGGAAAATCTACACTTTCCTTGTTGGCCCTCCATCCTTGTCTTGTCCTTACAAAAATGTTTTGTTCTTACTAGCCCACAGTCACTACCTTACCCATTGTCCTTGACTCAGACTAATGAATAAATACCAAGGTTCTAGGTACCACAAGGCCTTTTGTTCCCAAGAACACCTGGTAATCAATCCCAGATCTCTGCCTACGCCATATTTCATCTCTTGTTCTTTCTTCCCACCATGTGTTATGAACATATGGCAAGAGATTGGGGCCTCCTTACAAGGTCTGATCACTGGGGACATGGAAAGAGTCTTCAATACAAGACATATTCTCAATACTTTTCTATTTCTGTAGCAAATAATGAACACATTCCTTATAAATACTCTAATATTTTAAGCTACCTTTAATTTTTGAAACAGGATCCCACTATATAATTCAGGCTAATTTTAACTATGTAACCCAGGCTGACCTTGAACTTGCTGCAATCCTCCTGCTTCTGCCTCCTTAGTTTTAAGATCACTAATTTCCCTACCACACAACAGTATCCAACCTTTTCATCCCAAATACTCATTTAAGAAATTATGAATTGATTTTTAATGCCCACCTGTGCTCTCTTTAAGTAAAATTTTATAATAGAGGAACTCCTATAATTTGATATTATAAACATATAACCTTAGTAGCTACCTATATGAGGCTTAACTGTGTAAGCCTACTTGTATATTTCTCATCTACCATTATAGAAAGTTACTGATTTGGGAAAAGCCAGGAAAAATCACCAATTCAAATATATCCCCCTTTCTAAGTTTTGCATCACTTCTTTTTCTATGTGCAAAATGACCATAACTCACAGACCATTTTCTTAGACACATATTTATTAATTTTTTTTCTGGTCACTTTTTAATGACATTTTTTAAAAGACATGCAACTCTAGCCCAGTTAAGTGTCATCTTTTTTAACAACAAAAAATTACTTTTTAAATAAAAAACATACAATGATATTTATTTGATGTATGACTATAGCAGCTCTACAATCCCCAAATCTTTTTTTTAAAAAGCCCAAATATCCATCAATTAGTGAACAGACAAACTGTGTAGTAGCTCATACAGTGGAACACTACCCTCAAAAAAACAGAACTACTGCAGACAAATGCAGGAACATGAATGAACCTCAAAAGGATGAGATATCCACATTATAAATAAAGACCAACGTAAAAGCAAAATAGAAAGTAGAGAGATAGATCTCTCTCAAATCAGAATGGAATGAGAAGGAGGAAGGGAGGTAAAGATGATGAAAAAAGAAATGAAGCTGTGTTGAGTGCACGCATCCAACTCCACACACGGAATGTAAACATCACGTGCTGCAAGTATGTGCTAATAAAACAAGACAGACAGACTTTAAAAGCTATCTACTTCATGATTCCATGTTAATGACACACTGGATCAACTACAGGAACAGAAAATAGATCAGTGAGCAGTTGCCAGGGATTGGGATGGGTGGAGACAACATCTGGCTGGTTATGGAACTGTTTTAACTATGGTGATGAATATTTGTCAAAACTCATAGATCAAACACTAAACATAAATAAAAATGTTCATGTATGAATAAAATGTGAACAAGAATGCCTTCAAAAGCTAAGATACTTCATTTTCCACACCGAATAAGCCACATGATACCGAAGTTCAATGTATCACATTCAGCTAAAACTAGTTTTATCCAGTCTGACACTTTGAAGTACAAATTAGAAACAAAAATATTTTTCATTTTATGCAGTACAGATTACACACAGTAATCAAAAAATATTCCTTAATATTCCATTTGAAAGAATTGACTGATTTCATCTTTTATTTCACTGCTACCTGTAGATGTAGCTTTAAACAAAATTATTCGCTTCTCAAAATGTAAACAAAAACATACTATCCACAAAATATACCTACCTGAATTTGTTCAGTCTATCCATAAAGCAATAAAGCACTTTATGTTGAATGAAAACACCATCAGTCATCAATGTCCTCTTGCCAAAGCAGCAACCTAGAATCAAAAAAATACGAATATCAACCCTAATCAAATTCCAATTATCATTAATATATTTTTAAATATTTTATTTTTCTTAATATAGTAAGACATAAATGTAAATTCACTTGTACATTCATCCATTCTGCAAGCAGTGCTTTTGAAATGTCAACAAGGAATGGGCTTTCATTTTACAAATTACACCCAAATTTGGTATCTTAACTTGCTTCAGAGTTCTCTCAAAGTAAGTCCGCATCCTTAGAATTTGCTTTATGAACACAAATTTATTTTATTTTCTCAACTGTTTAATATGTAAAGCAATTGACAATGTCTTTTTTCTTTAGACTACAGCTTCATGTCTACACCCCTCACATACCAATTAGCTCTACAACCTACCAAAGTTTACTATCATCTACACAAACTTCCACTCCAGCCTAATCTGTCTGCTTGCTTCCACAGAATAAGTGCATGAGTCTCAGTTGTCACCCTTAAAAAAAATTTTTGTTTTTAGAACAGGGTCATTTTCTCCCTTTTCCTCTTTGTCAATCAAAGTGCATCTATCAACTTTCTCAAAAGGAGCCCCCTCTGTAATTCCTTGTCTGAAAACTAATGTAATTATTCTGTACTCCATTAATCTTTGCCAAAATACTTTTCTAAATCATGTAAGTACCATTTCACATAGTGAAGGAGAAATTCTATTCCTCTGTTCCCTTTCTCCCCATTATATAGTACCCTGTTTGACACAGGAATCAATAGAATAAGCCAACAAAAAAAGTCTTAATAAAGATTCACACAGCAAATGTTCACTGCAGATATATTTTTTTACAAGTCACTTGGATACAAAACCCAAGAGTCATAAAAATATAATACTTTCTATGGAAATGTCTGTCTGTCATTCTAATGCTTTAGAAGAGATTATTTTCAGATTGACATTCTAGCTGGGAGCAGTCTTTTTTCTATTGATACAAAATTCTACTTAAACCAGTTTTAGACAATTAAAACACAGAAACACTACCACCAATTAAAACTAATCCACCACAAAAGTAATCCTACTACTTTCATTTTCAATTCCAGGTCTGGGGACAAAGCTCAGTAATAGAATGTTTGCTAGCGTATGTATAACTTTGGGTTCAAGCCCAGTCTGTGTAACTTAGCTCCTTTTTGAGACCCTGTCTAAAAATAAAAAGGTCTGGGGTGAACCTTGGTGTTAAGGCCCTACATTCAGTTCCCAGTACTCTCCCCCAAAGCTCAATAAATTACTTTAAACACAAAAGCATAAGTGCTACTATATGGTGCTTATTTTATTATTACATTACTTCATCTGACTGACCTAGTCAAAAAGGACAAACTGCTAAAACCCATGAACAAGCAAATCCTAAATAGCCATGAAATCTAAAATCAGCCAAGATTTCACCCTAAAAGTTTCTGTCAGCCTCCCACAATAATCTAGTAGTGTGGGATAACTAGTATTAGAATTACCTTTATACTGTAAATAGCTACAAAACTATCAAAATATGTACTGTAATAGTTTCTGGGCATTGAACAAAAATAAATGTGGGGGGGCCGGGGAGATGGCTCAGTGGAATAAGCACTTCCCTGGCATGTGCAAGGGCCTGAGTTCAATCCCTGGTTCCACCAAAAAAAATTAATGTAGGGCTATGTTCCTCAAAAGAGGGAAACAAAGCAGTTAAGTCCCATGAACAAACACTATGGCTTTCTGCCAGAAGATATGTTAATACCACTATAGGCAGAAAGATTGAAAGCAGAACAAAGTTTTGGCTAACTCTTAGACAAGGTAGGAGTTTATCACAGTAGAGATGGTAAGAATCAGTAAAGTAACATATCAAGAGGGAAATAGCTATGCAGAAAAGAGCTTCAGACATCTTACACGTCTACATTTAAGGTGACATAACATGACACCTGGGAAAATACACTGTCAGAAGCTTAAAAATGAACAACTCAGTACTGACAGTGAGCTGAGAGACATGAGAACTCCAACCAGCCATGGCAGAGAGCCTTCATGTACACAGGTGAGCAATAGAGACCTCTGTAGGGCTAAGTTAGTGCTAAAATAAAGACTGTTCTATATTGAACTCAACAAAATTTAAAAGAAGTCTTGTAGACTAACCCTCACTTGTAACAACCAGCCAAAATGGAAAACCTTCCAATTTAAGGGGCATCTACCAAAATATGTAGAAGGGAGCAAGTCTTAAATAGTCCCACTTAAAAGCAGTAACTGAAAAGACAA